CCCCAAAACCCCAAAACCCCAAAACCCCAAAACCCCAAAACCCCAAAACCCCTCTAATAAAAGAAGGGTTTGAAAAATTACTAATAAAATAAACTAAATGGAAGAGCTAGAACCTCTGAATCAAGTCTTTCCAACTGAAAAAGACACTCAATTCTTGATTAACTATCTTACCAAAGACCCTGTACCTCTTTACTATGTTGAGAATGTGGTCACCATCAACAACAACATTGCTGAGATCAAGTTTGTGCAGTATTACTTCAACGATTCGAAAGACTTTATAGAGACTGAATATGTCTTTCCCGTTCACAATGACTGCACTTTCACCGGACTTGAGGCAAGGTTCGAAGACCAACTGATTATCTCAACCATCAAGTCGAGAGAAAGAGCCAAGGCTCAATATGATGATGCTATTGCCAAAGGAGATACTGCATTTATTGCCCACCCATGCAGAAAGTCCAAGGATATGATTAGGTAATGGAGTCAGATAACTTTTAGAATTCAAATGGGAAATTTACCACCGAAAAGCCAGATCATTGTAACTTGATACTTTCATCAGGTCATGGAAGTTGGTAGGTTTACATTTCACATAGTATCTTATTGGATATAGAGGACCTCAGCTGGAAGCTTCACATTCCCAGCAAAATCATTCCAAGATACATGGGTGATTTAGCTAAATATGTAAAAACAGGAAAGCATCTTAAAGGAATGGTCAAAAGTATGCATAATGATGTGCCAGAAGAAAGACTAGAAGACATTGAAGAAGAAATCTCTGGCTACTACAGCTCAGCAGCCTTCAATTGGACGATCTGTGTCAGTATCAGTTCCCAATCATCAATTCGTAGACTAATCAGCACTTCTCATGACATCAAAGTTGATTTTCTTGATGAAACTCGGATGGATGCTTACATCGAACTTAATGAGCCTGGCCTTGACACATTTTTTAATGAAGACTTTGTCCTATTATATAGGAACGAAGATATCAATCTCCCTATGATTCTGATGCAAAAGAAAGATGATGAATATGCCCTCATGGTCTCAATGCTTGCTGATCTTACCCCACAAGAAGATTTCGAAGAAAGGAAAGATCAAATATATGAAGAAATTGATTTAGATCCCAAGATCAAATATCAGAAAGCGCTCAAAAATATTATGGAGCCTGCTGAATTTACTTTTGTGCTAGATAGAAGTTATTCGATGAGTGGAGATTCGATGGAGACTGCTAAAGAAGCATTACTCCTTTTCTTACATAGTCTCCCTCCAAGGTCTAGGTTTGACGTTGTATCTTTCGGATCAACCTTTGAGTCAATCTTCGAAGGAACTGTTGAGTACGATCAAGAAACTATGGATAAAGCTTGTGACATTATCAAAAGATTCGAAGCTGATCTGGGAGGAACTGAGATTTTTAATCCTCTCCACTCTATCTTTGCTGATAGAGATGAAGCAAATGGTCTTGACAAGCATGTCTTTCTTCTGACAGATGGAGCTGTATTTGACCCTGAAAAATGTATCGAACTAATAGAAAACAACTCAAACTATTTTTCTGTTCATACATTTGGTATTGGAAGTGGAGCTAGTACTCAACTTATCACCGAATGAGCAAGAGCTGGAAAAGGAAAGCATTACTTTGTAAGCGATTCAGCCTCTGGGCTTGAAAGGTCTGTAATCGATGCCCTTTGAAAATGCTTTGAACCTAAGCTGATAATTGAAAAGAAGGATCTCGCTGTAAATGGAGACAAGCTTTTTGAGCATCCTTCATTATCTAATGTGAGCTCTAGAATGTATCATGGAGAATACTTTACTTATTTCTGAATTATCAATGGAGTCGAATATGACGAACTAAAAGGATCTTTATCGTTGCATATTAGATCCGAGGACAATAGAGAGAAAAAGAAGCTTTTAGTAGATCTCAACGAAGATATAAAATTCATTCCTGGAGACTCTATTTTCAAAATGTTTTGCAAAAACCATATTGTTGATCTCCAACGAAATAGAGACAATCAGGATTTAGTAACCAAATTGTCAGTCAAGTACCAAATTCCGAGCATGTTTACATCATTTATCGGTAAGTAAAGTAAAAATTTTATCGTCTTCAAAAATTCTGGTGGAATTCACCAGACTCAATTAGTCCTGATTCTGATGCCTTGCTTATAGCTGTCAAGAAGTTGATTAGGAAGAACAAAACAGAGTATGAGAAGGTTGACTCTGATATGATAAACGGTAGAGTTCACTTTGAAGTCAAGACTCTCACTGGAAAAACATTAGAAATGGAAATGACCAGCAGCGACACTATTGATGAAGTTAAATGAGCCATTCAAGATATGGAGGGAATTCCTCCAGATCAGCAAAGACTTATCTTTGCAGGAAAGCAACTGGAGGATAGTGTTACTCTTAGTGAGTACTTTATCACAAATGGAAGTATCCTTCATCTCGTCCTCAGACTTAGAGGGGGAGGTGGCCTCACAATCAAAAACATGGTCACAAAGAAAGAGAATAATGTCGAATGCGATTACAACACTCTCCAATTCGGAGAATTGGTGAGTCAAATCTCGAGGATGTTCGATGTAGATGAAGATAAGATCAGAGTCTTCATTAATGGAAGAAGAATCAATCCCAGCCGAGAAACTGAAATCAAGAAGGTTGGCATAGAATCTGGTGTTAAGGTAGAATTCAACTATCCCACTTATAAAAACTATGTTGATCTCCAGAAAGTTGATGGCTCTTGGGATGAACAAATTTTGCAAGAATGTGACAAAACTGAAGAAGAAGTACTAGAACACACTCCTGAAAATGTTAAGAATGCTGGAGACAAAGAAGAGCAACTTAAGATAATGTATACTTGGATAGGAATAAACAGACTCAAAACCCTCTTTTCTGATAAAGAAGAAGAGTGGAAACTTGTAGTAAAGAAGGCTGATGAATTCATTGAGAAAGAAACAAACTTTGATGGGAAATATGAGAATATAACTTCTAAGTTGTTCGAGAAAGAGGATGAAGAAGCAGCAAAGCAAAAAGCTGAAGCAGAAGCAGCAAAGCTTAAAGCCGAAGCTGCTAAATTGGCTGCAACAGAAAGCCTAAAGAACCCAGAGAATACTGGAGATAATGCCCAAAACAAAGATGGTGGTTCTAATCATCCAGCTACAGGAATCTCTTCAGCTCCAGTGACTGCACCTCAAGATCTCGAAATCCATACCAACGAAAATGAACAACAAGAAGCAGTTCCTCCAAAGAAAGAATCAAAGTTCAGAAAGTATTTCTGCAATATCTTTAAGAGAAGAAGACATGATGACTAACTTTTCCTTCGTTTAAATTTATCCAGTCAAAACCATTCAATACTATACTAATCTAAGGGGTTTTGGGGTTTTGGGGTTTTGGGGG